ATCCTGATGCCCATATTAATTTCGATTCGCGCTTAAAATGTTTTATGTGCGCGTTTCGTGCTTATTGCGTTTTAGAAATGGGGTGTGAAGTCGAATACCTCGTGAAACCGTGGGCAAATGGGGAAGAAGTACGCATTCCACTGCCTGCACGAGTGAAGCGAATTGCAAACAGGCCGACAAGTTTTCGCAAGGGCACCATGACGCGAGGGTACGGATTTGGCAAACGCGGGAAATTGACCTGGAGAAATCGGTAGGGGTTCTATCCTAGACTTAACAGATTCTATCCTATCCACTGGATCCTTCATTACATCAGCATGGTATGAGAGCAAGAGTGGATTATACGATCTGTCAAGTTCTCGTTCTTCTCAGAAAAACCACTTTATAAGGTTAGTCATTACACCTCAAAGTCTGCAATACTATGGCTCCTGAAGGGAAAGCTACTGCAGACTCACCGGGCCCACCACCAGCAACGACTAACGCGCCACCAGCGGTGACCTCCGTAGCGCCGCCGTCGTTGAGGAACTAGTTGCATGCATCAATGCCCTTGAGAGCCACCAAGCAATGAGCGTTGATGGCTCAAGCTATGCACACGGCGTTGCAGGACTTCCTCTCCCTGGAGAAGACCGCCGCCTCAACTCCGAGAGATCCTTCACCTTTGACAATCGTCAAGGGTCAGCTCCTGCACAAGACATCCCACAACACTCACAGTCAAACATTGCTTCTATGCAAACCAAATTTTTACTGACTTCAAAATTGAAGACCTCAACTCCTTTCAACGGAAAGGATTTCTACACATGGAGTTTCAAATTCGAGCTTCTCGCGACAATCGCTCAAATCTGGATGTACTACGACGGAATGAATGCATTGAGCAGGGTGAGGAGTACAAGTATGAAACCCTAAAGTGTTGTACCCCATATGAACTGCCCCACTACAGCCTACACAGACTATAGAATATATGCCTAACACACCCCCATAGGCAAAGTGGGGGAGAACAAGGGGTCACAAGACCAGTCAAGCAGAGCAAAGCAAGCTTAGGGTGGATCACAACGTCACCACACAGTCCGAGCACAAGAGCAAGGCCACAAGGCCAGTTCATATGCAAGATCATATATACAAAGGTAAACAAGCAAGTGCAAGTATAGAAAGAGTACAGTACAAACAAGGTCAAGAAGTGAGCAAGTGAGGCCAAGTAGGCACAAGACCTAACAAAGTACAGAAGCAAAGATGCTCACAAGGCGGAAGGGCCTTGGTGAAGATATCAGCAGTGTTGGCCTCAGAGGCCACGTAGGTGAGGCGGAGCTGACCACGCTGCTGCAGCTCACGAGCCAGGAAGTAGCGGAGAGCAATGTGCTTCGTTCTGTGCTCCCGAAACAAGGCCAGCATGGCCTTGTTGTCTACGTACAGAACTGGAGGAGAACAAGGCAGCTCTCCTAGGTCAGTCAGCAGGTAGGTGAGCCAGCGTAGCTCCTGTACAGCCATAGCCCCTACGTAGATCTCAGTCTCACAGCTGGAGCTGGGAACAGAAGACGGGCGGGTAGACCGCCACGAAACAGAGCCGGAGCCAAGGCTGAAGGTGTAACCCTGTGACAACCGCAGCAGAGCCTGGTCGTCTTCGTGACCTGTCAGGACCACTGGACATCGCCCTCCAAGCACTAGCCCCATGCCTGACGTACTACACACGTAGCGCAACACCCTCTTCGCTGCACCCATGTGCTCTGGTCGGTGTCTCCCAGGAGAAACATAGCGTGCCAAGATGCTAAGAGGGTATGCAAGGTCAGGTCGTGTGCAGGTCATCAGGTACATGAGGCAGCCAACAAGCTCTGGATACGGGCCACTCGGCTCTACGGACTCATCCAAAGGCAGAGCTGAGAGCGAGTGGCGAGTCGACAGAGGAGTGGCCTGAGGCGAGGAGTACGTGAAGCCGAAGCGCTGAAGGACCTGCTGCACCATGTGTGACTAAGTCAAGGTAATGGTGCGCTATGCTCTGTCTCGAGTGATATGCAAGCCAAGGTAGCTGCGCAGTTCACCCAGGTCTGTGCACGTGTGTCTCTTCTGCATCTCGGACTTCACATGGGCTAGTCCAGCAGTGGCAAAGACCAAGTCGTCGACGTACACGAGGATGTAGAACGGCGGCAAAGAGGTGTCGGTGCGCAGAAACAGCGACGGGTCGGGTGTAGAAGGAGCAAACCCAAGAGCCGCAAGTGTAGTCCTCAATGTGTCGTGCCACTCACGAGGCGCATGGCGGAGACCGTAGACTGGCCGCCGGAGGCTCCACTGGGTACCAGGAGGAAACGACCCAGTGAAGCCAGGTGGGCGGCGCAGCGAGATCTCCTCGTGCAGGCTGCCCTGCAGGAAAGCTGTGCTGAAGTCAAGAGAGTGAAGCTCGAAGTCGCGCTGAGCGGCTATGTGCAGCAGCACCTGAAGAGTGGTCATCTTCAGGGTGGGAGAGAAGGTCTGACAGTAGTCAACTCGTTGCCGCTGACTGAAGCCTCGAGCCACGTAATGCGCCTTGAAGACAAGCGGAGAACCCGGCGGCCGCTTCACCCTGAAAATCCACATGCCACTGACGATGTTTGCCGTAGGTGGGGGAACCTCATCGACGTAGGTGCCTGTGGACTTCCAGGAAGCCATCTCTGCGTCCATGGCTGACTGCCACTGACAGGAGTAGGGACCCTCGATCGCCTCAGCGTACGATCGAGGAGTCGGGATGTCTGGTGCATCCGGGTCTCCCTCAGGAGCAATCAGCGTGGACACGAGATGAGGCAAAGCAGCAGCAAAACACTGGAACTCCTCCTGCCTGTCCTCAAGGACGTCCGTGCTAAGAGCACACTCACCCACGACGGACGGAGGACAGACAGACTCAGACTCAGCAACAAGACTGGCAGCGTAGTCTAGACAACAGTGAGCTGCGAAGTCGACAAGCTCAGCAACAAGGGCAGACGCAGTAGTGGACTCAAAGGAAGGGTCAGTGACAACAGTAGCTAGGAGACGCGTGACAGTAGGACTGGCAGCACGAAGAGAGTCAGACTCCGGGTCAGCAAGAGGAGGAAGACAGGACTCCGGAGGAGACGGCAACGGGACATGAAGAGGAGCAGTGGAAGGACCCAGCGCCATCAGGTGTGTGCCGGGGACCGCAGGAGGACGCGGACGCGCAGTACGACCACTAGTGCGAGCAGCACGAACAGGCGACGCAGGACGAGACGCAAGCTCACGACGCTCAGCAAGACCTCAAGTAGGACCAGTGTATGGAGAAGGAGCAGGTAGAGGGGAGGCGGGTTGTAACTATGAGTGCAACTAGACAGGCTGTGGACACTCTAGGGGAGGAGCAGGACCAGTTGAGGGCGGGAGACCAAGAACCTGCTCCAGGAGCGGAACGAAGTACGGCCTCGGCCGCGCTGCGCCTCCACACTTAGGAAGGAGAGCACCAGTACCCCCAGCGGCAGCACCATCACCAACAGCACCGCTAGCGCCAACACCCCCAGCAAGTCCAGCTCCAGCAGCCCCAGCTCCAGCAGCCTCAGCAGCACCCCCAGACGCACCAGCGCCAGCAGAATCACCAGCGTCAACACCCCTAGGAGCTCCAGCTCCAGCAGCACCAGCACCGCCAGTAGCTCCAGCAGGACCAACTCCAGTAGCCCCAGCAACACCCCCAGTCCCAGCAGCTACAGGATCGCCAGTATGAGCACCTCCGGAACCAGTAGCAACAGTAGCACCTCCAGCTCCAGCAGCATGTCTCTACAGGCGGGCAAACCACTCGCGCAGCTCCTGTGGAGAGAGTGGCTCCCGCCTCGGCGAAGCAACGCCGGCGGCCACACGAGATGACCTAGTGCCCCCAGGCCCCGCACCCCCAGGCTCCACACCCCCAGACCCAGCACCCCTAGGCTCAGCACCCTCAGACTAAGCACCCCTAGTTTGAGCACCCCTAGACTCAACACCTCCAGACCCGGCACCCGCAGGCTCAGCACCTCTAGCAGCACCAGAGTCAACAACTACCTCGACAGGCTTGACTACGTCTACCTGGGACACACCTGACATGGCAGGACCCTGAGGGGGGAGGGGGTCTCTCGGGGGAGGACATGGTGCAAGGAAGAGCGGCGACGGGGGGAGGGGCGCAGTGCAGTAGGGGAAGAGACGGTAGTAAGGCACCGACTCGTCAAAGGTTACATCCGGGGAGGACAGAACACGGCGCGAGGTGGGGTGGTAAAACTGCCACCCAGGCGCGTCAGGGAGGAAGCCAAGGAAGGCGCAGGGAACAGCACGGGGGGACAGCTTGTCCGCAGACATGTCGCGGACAAACGCCCGAGATCCCTAGACCCGAAATGCAAACGCATCGCCAACCTTCCCCGTCCACCGCAAGGCGGGGGAGGTCTTTGGCAAGGAGACCCGGGGCAGAAGGTTGAGCTGATGCGCGGCGTACTGAACCGCAAACGGCCACACAAAATGGTGGGCAGCGGCATGCATCATGGACGTACGAGCGACGTCCATGACCATGCCAATGCGGCGCTCAGCAATCCCATTTTGCTGTGGAGAGGCCGGAAGCGTGAAGTTCTGGCGGATGCCCTGTGCACGTCAGAAGGCTCTCAGACGGGCAGAGGAAAACTCTCCGCCACTGTCAGAGTGCAGACGCAGAACAGGAAAGTCCAAGCCGAAACTCTCCCTAAGCTGGAGACGAGCTGCGCGGATCCAGTCGATCAACACCTCAGTGACGTCACCCTTGCTGCGCAAGGGGAAGACTATGGTTTAATGCGAGTATTCGTCAATCACCAGCAAGAAGTACCGCTCGTGTCCCTGCCCACGGACGCGGGCGGGGCCCCACACGTCCATGTGGAGGGTGTGTAGCGGAGCCTCTGTCGGAGGAAACTCGGAGGAGTGAGGGGCGGTGCACTGTCCCCCCTCAACCCTGGCCGACGGGTGAGCGTGGCCAAGTGTCGGCCTGTCCGAGCACACGTGTAGTGGGTCACTCCCTGACTTGCAGGAGCGAACTAGTCAACCTCCCTATCCTATAGGTCCGCTCCACTCACCAAGTTTGTAGAGAACGAGGGGAGGTAGAGACCTGACAGGGTGCCAGAGGGGGCTGACGGACACGGTAAGACAGTGGAGAAGCTAGCAAGGACAGGACCCCCAGAGGGGTCCGACAGGGAGACTGCAACCGGCCGACTGAGCGGCGTACGAGTGGAGCGGGACGCACTCGAGTTAAGGGTGAAGGTGTGTAAGGCCTGAGCCGACGTAGTACCTAAGAGCGCAGACTCACCAGTACCTAGGGCAGCAGACGCCCTAGCAGCTGGGGTAGCAGAGGCACTAGCACCTAGAGCAGCAGCCTCGCCAGCACCTAGAGCAGTGGCCTCAATGCCCGGGTCAGGCGGTACACACAGGTAATAGACACCCTCAACACTTGTAGTCACACAATACATGGCAGCAAGGATAGCATCATAGTCAAGATCAAAGATGGCAACCCCCGCCCTAGACAGATCTCCCCAGAGAGGGATCTCTGACGCCTCAGGGAGCTGGCGATGCCACGTGTCCGTCAGGCGACCGAAGCAGCGCTGGGTGGAGTGCGAGCCCCCGCACTGCTCACCGGCTCGGTCGCCGGTACGGAGGACGTAAGTGCAGGGACCAGTACCCCCACCGCCCTGACGCGCAGCGTACCACTCACGAAGCTCCGCTGGTGCTGGCGCAGACTACCACCTAAGCCACTCCTCTGCGTAGAGTCGCGACCCGCTCCACCACCGCCGCCGCTGCCGCCGCCTCCGCCGCCTCCTCCACCTCGGGCTCCTCCGCCACCTCCGCCGCCTCTGCTCCCTCCGCCACCACCGCCGCCTCCTCCGCCTCCACTGCTGCCACCGCCGCCGCCACCCCCGCCACCACTCCCACCACCACCCCCACCCCCTCCACTGCCTCCACTACCTCCTCCACCGCCCCCGCCAGCCCCTCTAGCGCCCTTGCCCCCCTTGCCCTTGCCGGTGCGGCGTCTTCCGCTAGGGGCAGACGCAGCGCCGACCGACTCGAAACCAAAGAGGTCGACCGCAGCAGCAGAGGCAACAGAGGGCAAGAGGGGGGAGGGGGAACACCCCTCAAAGACAAGGGTGCGAGGGTCCTCACGAGAGGCTCCTACAGCGACCATGCTCTTCTCTGCTACTAGGAGGCCCTTCTTGAGGAGGTAAACGGTGAGAGTGGTTGGGCAAACTGAGAGGAAGTGGTCCCTGACTACGCGAAGAGAGTCAGGGAGTCGGGTGACTATGTAGTAGAGGGTGATGTACATGGCGGGGGGGTTCTTGGCGCAGAACTCAGCAGGAAGCGCAGCGCGGTAGCGAGTGTCACTAGTGCGGAGGTGCGTAATGAGGTCAGCGACTGTGGGAAAGGTAGCAAGGTCAGGGAAGAGGTACGGTAGCATGAGGCGGCTCAGTGCAGCAGTGGCAGGGGAAGAGTAGCGTGCAACTACAATGTCGTACAAGGTCTGAGCACTCTTGTACCAGCTAAAGTGTGCACGCGTAGTGGTCGGTAAGTTGCGGCGCACACCAAGGCGAGCAGTGGCATCCCGCGTGGCCCACTGTGAGCAAACAGTGGTGTCAGCATCAGCAGTAGGGGCAGGAGAGGCACCAGAGTGAGGTCAAAGAGGGAGAGACCGTCTGCCTTATCGCACTGTAGGAAAAGCTGCAGATCATCTACCCAGACCTCAAAGTCAACTGCTTGACCCTCAATGTCAAAGGTGAGAACACTAGGGGTGGCCATGACAGTAGTAGACAAGTAGTGAGTACAGTGGGGCAGGGTAGTGCAGTGGCAGAGACGCTGCTCTTACCAGGCAAGTAAGGCGGTCCCGGGCAGGCCGACAGGCGATGGCGCCTCGACTGCAGTGCGGCTCGGCGCCTCGGCGCCTCATCAGCAAAGGCGGCTCGGCGTCTCAGCGGCTCGGTGGCTCAGCGGCTCGGTGGCTCGGCGGCGCAGCGGCTCGGCAGGTCGGCGGCTCTGCAGCGAAGGTGGCTCGGCGGGGTCGTGAAGGGCGGCGTCGATGCCGCTAAGGAGCGGTGACTGGGTGTTGGTGCAACCCTACGGTTTGCACTCGGCTTGTTGTCGGTGTGCGTGCATGTGTGTCTGTATGGAATGGTATGAGGGCATGGGATAATATATATTTCATGCTTATAATTGTGTGTGAATGTTGAGTCATGATGTCGGGTGTGTTTGTCGAGTCAATAGCGAGATATCGCTAGACGCGTGTTACGCGGTCGTTTGTGTCTCGCGCGCGGTTTTTATTTTGTCATGTGTCGAACGTTCGACATGCCGCAGGTGTGTGCAGAAGACCCATCAAGAACCCAAGGATGAGTTTGTGATGAAGAGCCCGAGCCTTTGTGTCAGGCCTCGAGTGATTTCGAAGCTCGCCAAAAGGGTGCACCTCAAGATATTGAAGATAGTTACATTACTTTGTGTAGTGTAACATTTCACTTGGTGTATGCCCTAGTGAAGGGTAGTCTCGAGACCCTTCGTGGTTGGGGAAAGTGTGGCACTGTTCCACATCACTGTACCTTGGCTCTTGGGGTTTGTAGGAGCTGGGAGTCATTCCCAACTCGTAACTCTTCCTAACTTCTTCCGATTTTGTGTTCTAAGACTATAGTGGCTGCCATAGTGCCGTTCGTTCAAACCAACGCTGTGTCGTCAATACTTAGTCAAATCGTGCGATCTAAACTGCCTATTGTAGGCAAAAATGAGACGCTCTAGATCCAAGTTGAATCAAGTCATTTAAAGTTGTGGCCAGAACGATATGAACGATTGAAGCCGCTATGCAGAAATCCGACTATGCACTCTATCTTTCGTTTTAGGCACATGGGAGCCTACTGTGACTATAACAATTGGTATCAGAGCCCCTTGGAGAAGTTTCGACAATGGCTGGACCTGAGGAAAGGGGTGTCAGAGGTGCTGGTGGCAGAGGAGAAGCCCAAGCTCAAGGCCAACCCCGTGATTCCACCACGGCACCCGTGCAGCCAAGTGTTGGCCCATCTAGGGATGAGCCTAGAGTGTTTGGCCTTGACAAGTTCAATGGTGACAACTTTGCTGAGTGGTGCTTCAGAATGGAGAACATATTTGACCACTATGATCTGCTGGAGGTAATGGAAGGAACAGAGAAGCGTCCCGAGAACGACCCGGAGAAGAGCCTGTGGGTGCGGAAGAGCGCACAAGGCTACCTCCTACTTGGGCAAGCGTTGGGGAGCAGCCAAATCCGTCACATCAAGCCTTTCCAGCGTGAACCAGAGAAGGGACCAAAGGCATGGGCTGCTCTCAAGGGTGTACACGCTCCTGCAACTGCGGCGGTAGCTGTGGTGTTGGAACGGCAAATGGCGACGTTACGAATTGAAGAGGATGAAGCGGTTGAAGAAGGGGTGCAGAAATTCTTCGACTTGTTGATGCGGCTTGAGGGAGCAGATTTGAACTATAGTGAGCTCCAAAAGAAGACCAAGTTGCTGGCCCTACTCCCTGAATCATGGTCCTCGCTCATCATCAACCTGAATTGCGACTTGCCCCGCCTCTCGCTCGAAGATGTGAAGCGAGCTATTCTTCAAGAGGATTTCCGCCGCCGTGAGTTGGCGAGTGCGGATGGCACTGGGGCAGCGAGCATCGGCCATGGATATGGTCAAGGAAGAGGCAAAGGACGAGGGGGAGGAAGGTTTGGTGGCAGCAACTTCGGCGGAGGCCGCGGGAGTGGCGGTTATGGCAGTGACGACAAGAGCTACGGGCGCGGTCGCGGCCGATTCGACGGCGAATGCCATTATTGCCACAAGAGCGGACATATGTGGCGTGATTGCTACAAGCTCCCTGATGGTTGGACCCCTACTCAAGTCCAAGAGGGTAGAGGAGCAGGAGGAGGGAGGGGAAGAGGCCATGGAGGCCGTGGCGGTCGCGGTTGCGGAGCTGCAAACATAACGAGCGGAGACAATAACAAGGACCCGAGCAACGATCGGTACCCGGGTCTATTCTACTTCGTGTCGACGCAAGTACCGACTGGTCCAAAGAAGGATGAAGGCTTTGAGGAGCCAGCAGTTGTGGGGAAGGTGACCCTACACCCTCTGGACTATTGGGTGATCGATAGTGGCGCTACCTATAGCATGACACCTCGCCCGGACTTGCTCACCGAACTCGAACCGTCACCGGTGAAGCATGTCACATCGGCTTTGGGGCAGCGAGCGGAGGTGAAAGCCATGGGCAAGGCCATGTTTAAGGGTGCTGATGGGAAGATGGTGGGCCTCAAGAATGTGCTTTGGGTGCCCAGCCTTGCTGCCAACCTGATTTTCGTGCGGCGGTTGGCAAAGGCCGGCATGGACACGAACTTGAAGGGAGCCAAGACCTACACCGCAAGGCTTGGCGATCGGATTCTTTGGGACCTTCATGAGGACAGAGATTTCTACAACGAGATGTGGCAGATCCCTGTGGTCCCAATGGCTAAGGAGAGGCAAGTGGCAGCAAGCGTCAACACCAAAGGTGGAGCGATTGGTAGCGGCGACTGCGCGGACGGTTGCGCTAAGGAGAAGGAGCCCAAGAAGTGCAAACTTGATGGGACCAGCAAGCTTGGTGAACCTATGGAGGGAGGTGGAGCAGCCAAGGAGCAGAAAAAGGGTGAGGAGAACCCCGAGGCAGCAGCGGAGGAGGACTACGGAGAGAGTATGTGGGGCGCTATTGCGAGCGCGGCATTCTCCAATCCAACTTCGGCTACGGGGGAGTGTGATTGGCTCACCTTGCATCGGCGCATGGGGCATGTGGCCCTGCCCATCTTGCAGCAGCTAGTAAAGAATGAGATGGTTGTTGGCATACGTGTGAAGGGGGAGCCCAATGAGGTACTTGGCTGCCCGACGTGCATGCAAGCCAAGTTCACCCGATTCCCGTTCTCTAGTTCGGAGGCGACGGCTAAGGCACCGCTTGATGAGGTGGTGATGGACGTGGTGGGCCCCCTGAAGCTTGGAGCTGCTGGAACTGAGTATTTTCTCACCATTGTCAATGTCTACACCCGCATGACTTGGGTGCATGTGCTGGCCAAGAAGAGCGACGTGGCTGAAACGTTGAAGACGGATTGGTTCCCGATGGTGGAGCGGCAACAAGACCGTCTAGTCAAGTCAATCCGCACCGATCGAGGGGGAGAGTTCTTGAGCAAGGAGTTTTGGGTTCTGGCTGAAGAAGAATGGTCTTCAGCACTCCCTCACCATGCCATACTCCCCTGCAATGAACGGCATCGCCGAGCGAGCGAACCGCACAATCACGGAGGCGGCACGCGGGTTGCTCATTGAAGCCGGGCTACCCGACTATTTCTGGCCTGATGCGGTGCGGAGCGCGTGTGTGGCCAAGAATAGAGCCTTGAATCATGTGGGAGCAGACAAATGGGTGCCCTATGTGGAGTGGCTAGGAAGGAAGCCAAAGGTGGATATGCTTCGGGTGTTCAGGTGCATGTGCATGGCGCTCGTGCCTAAGCATCTTCGGCACAACAAGCTTGGTGCCAAGGCGGTGTGGGCCGTGCACTTGGGCATGGCTCAAAACAGCAAGGGATGGCTTCTTTGGGACCCATTCACCAAGAAGTTCTTGGTGAGCAGGGACTGCAAGTTCATGGAGAACTTCATGTACAAGGGTTGGAAGGCGGAGAATGAGGCGAAGATAGGCGTGCGGTTTGGGGAAGTGAAGAGTTCCGGTTTGGAGCATGTGGAGCTGCCTTTGGAGCTGAGCAGCGGCAGCACAACCACGAGGCAATCCTCCCTTGTGAATGGGGGAGAGGAGGCCAATGATGCAGAGGAAGAAGAGGAGGAGGTGCAGCAAGTGAGCGAGCGTGCACTGTCACTCCCTTCCCGTACTATGAGTGCTCCACGGATTCGAGCCACACCGCAGCAACACCAAGGCCTTCAAGTCCCTGCAGCTGAGAAGGAAGGAAGGGGGAAGAGGAGAGTTCAACCCCCTAATAGGCTGACCTATGATGCACTGGGAACGCAGGGCAAGACAGCCCTGGCTGGAGCGGCAATGATGGTCGGAGACGACGAGGAGAGTGACTACGAGGAGTGTGCCTTCGCGTTCTTCTCTCCGGTGGAGATGCCGGGAGAACCAGCAACTCTCAAGGAGGCTTTGGAGAGTAGTGATGCTGAGGAGTGGAAGAAGGCCATGGAGAGTGAGCTGAAGAGCATCGAGGAGAATGACACGTTTGAATTGGTGGAGCTACCGGAGGGGTGTACAGCGATAGCGTCCAAGTGGCTCTTCAAAATCAAGTCGGATGCCGACGGCAAGATCGAGCGCTACAAGTCTAGGCTTGTAGCCAAGGGGTACCAGCAGAAGGAGAAGGTGGACTTTAAGGAGCTGTTTGCCCCTGTGGTGAAGCCGACGACGCTGCGAACCCTATTCGCGGGAGCTGCCATCAAAGGATGGGTAGTAAAACAAATGGACATCATAACGGCATTCCTTAACGGCATCCTTGAGGAGGAGATTTTTATGGCACAGCCAGAGGGGTTTGATGATGGTAGTGGCAGAGTGTAGAAGCTGAAGAAGGCCCTCTATGGGCTGAAGCACGCCCCTAGGCAATGGTACATGAATCTGCGCGAAGTGTTGGAGGAGATCGGCTTCACTCCCTCAACGGCCGATCACTCCTTGTTCATGCTTGGCGAGGGGGAGCAGAGGAGCTTCATGGTGGTTTATGTGGATGATATTCTCATATTCTCACCCTCCTCTGACCTTGTGAAGGAGGTGATGCTGAAGCTGCATGACAAGTTCAAGTG